CTGCTGGGTATGGACCATCCATCAGGCACCTGCTGGAGGGGCAGCTGCCTCCGTGCACAGCAGCAGAGGGAGAATCCAGGCCTCTCCAGAAGGTGCTGCCCCTTCTCTCTTCCTTCCTTTGGGGCCCAAACACATCTCTGCAGTTCATCCATGGTCATGGTCCAAATGATCTGCCATCCTTTTTCCTTGACATGCTGAGAGAGGTTCCACTTTGGGGACATGTGCGTGTCAGGGAAGGCGAACTCTGCCCTGATCCTCTCCCAGCCATACCTCTGCCACATGGCCCAGTGACACAGCTGCACCCCTCTGCCCTGTCGCTCTGTGGGCCTTAGTCCTGTCGATAAATCACTGGCAAGGCGTTGGAAGGACCATGTGCTGTGTGGAAGGCGGTGAACCATCTGGGCTGAGGCCCTGTCTTCACAGCGTCCTAGGGAGGACGCCTTTGCCAGCCAAAATGTGGGCCTCCCCAGGGCTGCTGCAGACACCCCTGACCTCTGGCTGGTCCCTGGGGTTGGAACCTAAGGGCACTTCCAAACTAAGACAGATTTTTGAGAGTATTCATTAAGCTTGGTCAGCTGCAAATAACCAAGAACTCAGCACAGCAGGTGGCCCCGGGGCCAAGTCCAACCCACCACCTACTTCTACAAGTATTTATTGGCACAAGCCACACCCACCCATCTATGCGTTGTGGGCGTTACTTTCACAGTTCAAGGCCACAGAGACCACAAAGCCTGACTAGCTGACTATATAGAAAAAGGTTGCCTGCTTCTGGCTTAAACAGTGATAACATTTGAGTAATTCTTGTAGCAGAGAGTCCCAAGGAGAGTGGCTCCAGAGTCATACAGAGGCCCAGCAATGTCCTCAGAGCAGCCATATCTGGTCTCCTTCCTTGGCAACTTGGCCTCTCCTGCATAACTGGCTGCTTCATGGTCACAAACTGGCTGCTACAGCTCTAGATTGACTTCTCCCATATCCACATTAAGGCAAGAAGAAGAGCAGGCCTCCTCCTAATCTTTCTTATTTAGGGATCAAAAGCCTTTTGGCATAGCTACTCAGGGAGCAGAAATCAGGAGGACCGTGGTTCAAAGCCAGCCTGGACAAATAGTTCCTGAGACCCTATCTTGAAAAAAACCCATCACAAAAAAGGGCTGGTGGAGTAGCTCAGGTGTAGGCCCTGAGTTCAAACCCAATAAAAGCCTTTTGGAGTCACCCAGTATAGGCCTTTTCCCTCTCATTCTCTAGTGAGTATCTAATGCTCAGTGAGCATTTTCTGTAAAATGCCAGATAGGATATACTTTAGGCTGGCAGGACACATAGGGTCTCAGAAGCATTACGTGTGTGTGTGTGTGTGTGTGTGTGTGTGTGTGTGTGTTACAACCCTTCAACAATGTCACATCTATTCTTGTCACGGTTTGCCAACATGTGGTCTGGAACCCTGTACAAGCCCAGTTTCCAGCAAAGGAGGGAGGAGGGAAGGGTTTAGTGCACTTAGCTCAGACCAATCACCCAAGACTGGAGTGTCCAGAGACTTCTGCAGAGGCTCAGAGGCAACAGTTGCTGCTGAAGAAAGACAACCATGACTGGAAGCCTGCCCTGGCGAAAAGTTATCAAGACCCTGTTTCAAAAAGTAAGTCTGATGTAGTGGTCCACATTTATAATTCCAGCAACTCAAAAGGCAGAAGTAGGTGAATTGTGTTTTGAGGCTATGTGGGCTAAAAGTGTGAGACCCTCTGTAAAGATGGGGCATGGTTCAAGTGGTAGAGCACTTGCCTGAGGCTCTGATTCAAATCCCAGTACTGTTAGAGAAAGAAGGGAAGGGGAGGGGAGGGAGAGGGAGAGAAGGGAAGGGAAGAGAGAGAGGGAAAGAAAGAGGATGGAGGGAGAGAGGACAGAGGGAGGGAGAGAGGACAGAGGAAGAAGGAAGGAAGGAAGGAAGGAACGAACGAACGAAGGAATCAAAGCCCTGCTTCTTTCCCAAGGAAGAAGTAAATACCAACCCCTGGGCTTCTGTCCAAAGTGTCCCTCTGGTCCCCCAGCCAGCTCTGAGAACAAGGGGTGGTGGGGAATGACACTTTCACCCTATTGGCCTCTTTCTTACAGCCAGGCTGAAGGCGCCCTCTTGTGCCTTCAAGAAGAGTGGAGGACTAGATTCAAGCAGTGTCCCTACCACAGCCTTCAAATTGACAGAGGGAACAACTAGGGCAAGCCTGTGGGCCACCTGTCCCCGGCCCTTCTCCAAACCCTGTGGCGTGGGGCAGGGAGAGCAGACAAGGAGAAAGGAGCACAGAGAGTGGACAGAAGTGGAGGCTGGGGAGGGACTGAGTAGGGTCAGAGGCGAGCTGTGACTCACAGGGTCTGTTGGGACAGATGACCCGTCCTGGGACAGCCAGTGCAGTGAAGTGGGAAAGGCACCAGCGCCCCCTGCTCACCACACTTCTCCACAGCAAGAAGCCAGATGTCCCCCAGTTAATCCAAGTTCAGCATTTTAGAAGTGGCTGAAAAGTGAGATGTTCTGCCAGTTGACTGAGTTTTCTGTACACGTGCCCTCCATTGATCCACAGATATCTTTGCTCGATTGATTTTTTTTTTTTTTTTTTTCATTTTTCTTTTATTATTCATATGTGCATACAAGGCTTGGTTTATTTCTCCCCCCTGCCCCCACCCCCTCCCTTACCACCCACTCCACCCCCTCCCGCTCCCCCCCTCAATACCCAGCAGAAACTATTTTGCCCTTATCTCTATTGATTTTCTTTTTTAAAGAAGCTATGGCTCACCGAAAGGAAAAGGCAATGGACAGAGCTCTGTGTCCCTAAGACCACCCCAGCAGGTCAGCTGCTCTTGGCATTCTCGTGGCTGAGGCCCCAGGACTGTACCGATGCACTGAGAACAGGGGTAAATGCCAACCAAAATGCAGCGACTGCGGGGCGGTGTGAATCAGCACCTTGTCGGACTCAGTAAGGAAGGTGCTGAGCACGGCAAGGACACAGCAAGGAAGGAAACCACCTAAGTATCCCCAAATGTCCTGATCACAGTTGACATGGCATGTCCATTCGTGAGATGTGTGTTAAATCCGCCCAAAATCATACTGCAAAAGAGCACTCAGTGTCGAGGAAGAGTTCAGGAGCCTCAGCCTGCTCCAGGGATGCATCTGCAAGGGAGGTGGCATCTGCATCTGACCTTTCAGCCAGGAGGGCAGGGGTCATAACGAGCACTCTAGTGGGCCAGAGCCCATGCCCTGGGGATTGGTAAATGCGGACGGGCACACTGAGCGTTAAGAGGAAAGAAGCAAGTTACGCACAAATTCAGTGTCTGTAAGAATGATCCCAGCCATGATAGGTACCCAGGAACCCCATCACCAGCATTACCTCCGGGTCACAGTTTTGCAGCCCCTGCACCACTACATTTAGGGCCAGGTGAGTCTTTGGGGAGGAGGCTGTCCTGTGCATGTAGCCCCTACAGTGTCTCTGGTCTCCACCCAGGGGTGACAGCAGCTCCCCCTAGTGGAAACAATCAAAAACTGCCAAGTGTCCCCTGGAGAGAAAAGAACCCCAGGCTGAGAACCAATGCCCAGATGGAAGGTATTATAGATGACACGTTCCTTTGTTCTTAGAACATGTGCCTATTTTTTAAGCTTTATTCCTAAAATGAACACCAAGTATTTTAGTCATGTAAAAACGGTGTTTCTTAATTACTTGTCCAAAAAAAAAGTAAAAAACACCCAAATGCAAAGATATTTACATTAGTATTTAAAGTAAGTAAGCTAATTTTATTACAATTTTAAAATAGTTATGGAAAAATACATGAAGACCCTGTTCAAAGGTCAGTATTCCTTAGGAAATATTAAAATATTTATAATCTTTGGGGGTTAGGCATCCTTATTTTAAGTATGCAGTTGTCTCTTGGTACCCCTGAGGCATTGGTTCCAGGGCCCCCTGTGGGTCCCCAGATCCACAGATGGAGTCCCATACAAAACAGCATCGTCTTTGCATATGGCCTGCATGTCCCCATACACTTCCAATCACCTCCAATGACTTATTATACCCACCACAGAGCAAACGCCATGTGACAGTTGGTGGACTGTATTGTTTAGGGAACAATGACAGGCAAGATGTCTGTAATGTTCAGTGAAGACATAATTCTTTGAAATATTTTCTATCCAGAGTTGGTTTAATCTGAAGGCATGGAGGTCGCGGGGTCTAGAGACCCCGCTGCGTCTTTGAAAGCGGTTCTGAATATAAGAAATGCTCCACAAACATGAGTGCTTCCCACATCATTTATAAAAGCAAAAGGCTATAAACCATCTAAAACCAACAAGAGGAAACCAAGTTCCTTGTGGCACAGTCACTTGACAGACTGTAAGAGAAAGAGCTTATAACAATGTCAGCGGAAGGTTCTGCCATATTGCTGAAAGCTATAGGTAAAACTGAGAATCTTGGGCCGTTGTGAGCAGGGCAGCAGTGAAAGCAATCCTGCCCATCATCGTGGTCAAAAGAAATACATCGAGGTGTTAAAAGTAGTGGCAGCTGAGCGGTGGAGTCACAGGTAAATTTTTTCTGTCTACTTTCCTGAAATGTCCAAATTTGTTATAATAATCATGTGTATACATTTCTAGCGAAAAAGAGAATGATATAACTTGTTTCTTAAAAATGCTTCAAAATGATCACAAATATATGCCAAAATTTCAGATAACAAATATATCTACATTAATCTATACACAAATTTCCATCAGGGTTGATAAAAGTAACTTGGTTCAAACATGATGAAACCTCCTTAAAAATTAAAACACAAACTAAACGTGTTCAGGTCTACACTCACCAGCTCCGAGAAGGCAAAAATTAAGTGACTGCTGAGCAGATGGTGAAGGAAAGAGGCTGGGTGTACTCACATGACACATTACAAACAGAAAAGGCTTTAGATGAGAAAAACCAGCTGAAAGAGACTTTTTTCCAGCCTAGGAATCACATTCTTTGAAAATGGACGGAATCACTTGGAAGGAGATCAAATAATTTGGTTTTGATTAGACTTAAGTGATCCAGGACAGATTTGGGCCACCTCACAGGTTTTTGTTGTTTGCCTCACCAAGGGTGATGGCAATTCCAGCCCACAGGAAGCAAACTCAGCAGACAAAGGGTGCCCTTCCCATATCTGTCAGCCAGTATCTGCCCAGCCTGCCATTCCCAGGTGGCTCCCTTGTTCCCTCGCCCCCTCCTCCATGTCATGTGGACACAGCCTACAGCTTACAATAGACCTCAAAGAGGGAAGCAGCTGCATGTATCCGGTAGAAAATAGAAAAGGGCATGGCTAGGTTGACCACAATTATCCAGGGTTCAAAGCCAAAGACAATTTCCTCCAATCCGTTGTCATACTCGGGGCGACAGCCAAAGGCGGGAGGTATCCAAAGCTGTAAAAGAAGAGGAAACCACCTGTTAGGGTTGGAGTCTACAGTGTCCCTGAGGTCTCCTGTGCTGGCTTGACAGCTTCTGAGAGGTGACGGACCATGAGGGTCTGAATTCCTCAATGGGTTCACCCGCCAATGGCCTATTAGAAGGTGGGACCTACTTGGAGGACACAGGTCACCAGAGGACCCTTTGCATCTTGTCCCAGGACCCTTCCCGGCGCTCTCTCTCTCTCTCTCTTGCTCTTGCTCTCGCTCTCTGCTTCCTGGCTGCCATGAGGTGAACAGCTTTCCTCTGCCATGCCCCTTCTGCCATGAGGTTTCTGCCTCTCTTCAGGCATAGCAGCACTGGAACCAGCTGACCGTGAAGCAAAATAAATTCTTCCTCCTCTTTATGTCTTTAATCTCAAGCACTTTGCAATGAAAAGCTAAATAGCATATCATCTGTCCAGCGAGCAGCTTCCAAGCCACGCAGGGACCCCACCCCAATCCCAGGCACCACAGATGCTGATCCAGACTCTGCAGGGCCTGAGCCACACCTGTCAAGTGAGGAGACTATCCAGCATCCCGATAGGGGACCATGAGCTCCACGAGCCTGCACTGACCCCCTCCTTCCCTCCCTACTTCTCCTTGCAGTCAGATCCATCTGATTCTCTCCATCCCCACAGCTCTTACTCAGCCTCAACCTCTTCGTCTATAAGATGGGAACACAGACACCTCTCTGAGAGGGCCCAGATGAGAATAAAATGAGAATTAAGTTTGCAAAGCTTAAAGCAATAACCTCCTGTTCTTGCTGCTTGTGGAACTTACACACTGGTCTCCAGCCCTTCCTCACCATCTGACCAAGCTTCCATCCTCTCCAGCACCCCTGAAGTTGTTGGGGCTCCCTTGCCTATCCTGGCCTGTTTCTCTTTCTTACTGTGCTTCTGAAGTTCTCCGCTCCCATGCCGTGGTCAGCCTGACCCCACTGATCCCGGAGCCATGTCCTGTGCAGCCCTCCCTGCTCCAGTGCTGGCTGAACCTAAAGACTCCCAACAGACAGAACAGCGCAAAAGCCCCAGGAAGTCATTTCCTGGATTAGGTTACAGAAGGGACTATGGACCCTCTCACCATGCTCTCTTGCAAGAGAGGAGGATGGGGTCCTTCGCTGAGCTGCCCTGTGGACAGGCCACGTGCAAGGCATCCAAGGGGAGCTCAGGCCAACCGCAGCCCTCTGTCCAACAACCCACAAGGGGCAAATCCTGCCTGCAGCAACTGCATGAGTTCTGAGTTGGGTCCCCAGGGTAAAGCACTGAAAGTTGTGCAGCCCTGGCCTCCTAGCCTGGGAAGAGCAGACAGCCCGCTCCTCTGCACTTGGCTTCGCCCCCCAGAGAGCTCTGAAATGGTAAGTGCAGGATGTTTTAAGTTGCTAAATTCAGGAGTTATTTCTTACGCACTAGTAAGGAACTGACACCCATGGCCTTCATTTCCAGCTCCACACAGGACTTTTTAGTGGCTCTGAGGGGCTCTCAGCCCATGTCCCCACCCTTTCTGCCCCATCCCCTCTACTGGCTCGTTGTTCAGCCTCTTCATGCAGGTGGGTCCCAGTTCATTCCTGGGTCCCCTTCCCTTAGATCACATGACCCCTGGGGCTCCACCCAGGCCTTGGCTATAAACCCCAGCCAGAGGCTTCTGACTTCCATCCAGCCCTCCAGCCAGGTCCACTCTCAAGAACTCTGGGAAGCTTTCCCCCTGGCCATTTGGGTGTCCAAAACACAACTCACACACAGCCTACCTTCCCCATGTCTCCATCTTACCAGCAACCTCCTCCTCTACGTGCTCACACAAGACCCCAGATGTCATGTCACTTCACTCTTCCTCTAGTAACATCATCCACCACCCATCTCCTCAGCAAGTACCGAGTCCTCATCCCCAAGGAGATCCTCAGTCTGTTCCTGGCTCCACCTCCACCTGTCCAGGCTGTCCTCTCTCCTACTGTCACCCCGAAAGTCCATTCTCCATGTAGCTGACAAGTGGACACTATGGTCGGTGTCACTTCCCTCATTAATCCCCAGAGTCTTCCCAGAGTACTTAGAGTAAAATTCATACTCCTCCACAGGGCTCGAAGCCCTGTCACTCACTCCTTACCACCTCCACCCCTCCCCCACACACTACGAGTAACTCTGGCCTTATAAGAATACAAGCTGAACCCCCCTTTTTGAAATATATACCCCAGCAAAATGCAGCCTGTGGAATTACTAATACCTCCTTCTTTTCATTCATGAACTCCTTGCTTCACTTCTGTATCTCTGGCATAGTTCCTGGCACACAGAAGGTGCTCAATAAATGGCTATTAGAAGAAAGGAGGGGGTCTTCCCCTAGAGCCAAACTCAGAGCTGCCCATCACTGCCTGCCCATCTGGTGAGGTTGAGGTGCAAGGGTCAAGTTGAATCAGGAGACCCACGGCCATTCTTGCTTCATTCAGGCCCTCCCAATTATGTGGCCCTAAGGTAATACCAAAGTGACAGCCCCTGGCGTGCACCCACTGCACTTAGAAGAAGGAAGTTAAAAGCTTCAGAGCTGACGGGGAAGCAGGGCAGACGAGATGAACAGGAGGCTGGTGGTAGAGAGTTGACGTCACCAGAATGAGGGCTAGTGCCTTTGAGGCTGGACATCCCCACCAGCCCCTGGCCACCCATCACAGAGGCCCGTGTGGTCCAAAGGTCTCTGGCTGTACTTTTAACTGGGTCCCTGCCCTCCTTCCTCCCACGTGATGCGTTCGCTCCTTCCTCTACTCTCCATCCCGACCATCGCCCTGGCTAAGGTGCAAGGCTTCAGTGCTGGTCTCCTGCCTCCAGCCCTCACCTCTCCATCCACTTCCAGGAGTGATCCCGAGGCACAGTTCAAGAGGGTCCTCCTTGTCCTCCACAACCATGTTCAGAGCATCGACTTTTAACCTTATACTTACTTTTGGAAGTGCTGGGGCTTGAACTCAGAGCCTTCTACATACTAGTCAAGTACTTATTTTTATTACAAACTGCCTTCATGCCTTATTTGAAAAGGGCAAGGACGAGATTCATTGATTTGAAATAATAATAATGAGATTACCGAAATATTGCAGAGGAACAAAAAGGCTGTGATGTTCCTGAGGACTCTTCTCTTGGTGTCACCCTGCAGGAGCCAGGAGTGGCAGGCTGAGCCCGGGACCCCTTCCCAGCACCTCTCTCGTTCCTCTTTGCCACCTGGTTGTAGACACAGGTTCCCATTGCCTACACGTGGCACAGCCCCACCCTGGGGCCCTGCCACCGCTCCCCTCCCAAAGTAGGAAGCCACCAGGGCAGTGTCATCTCCACTGCACACGGTGACCACCCGGAGAGTCTGGATGGCCTCGGAGAGCCCGTCCGGCTCGCGGTGGACAGACTCGATGATGAAGAGGTTCTGTATGTACTTCTCCACGATCACCAGGATGGAGTAGGGCAGGTTGTACCAGGTGTAGGGCGGGCAGGTCTCGGCGCAGACGGTGGCCAGGATGGAACCCCAGGAGATGAGCCAGGAGCCGGAGGCGGTGCCCACCAGGAGGTCAGCATCCAGCTTGCGGGCTGGGTTTTTGGACTCATCCAAGGCTCTCTCGTCCAGCCTGTAAATCCGGATCCCCAGCAGCCCGGCGGCCCCCATGAGCAGCAGCAGGGTGATGGCGTACAGGTAGAACATGGTGAGCACCGACTCGCTCTTGGACTTGGAGCGCCCAATGTGGATCAGGTACACCACCACCACTGCGATGGTGGCGGCCAGTGCCGTCAGGCCCAACGCCGAGCCTGCCAGGACCCCGTTGAACTTGAGCTGCATCCTGTGGTGCCGAGGGCCGTCCACATTGCGCCCGATGTTCTTCCATAGCACATACAGCATGGTGGAGGCCAGGATCTGGTACTCGATGTTGAACGGGTACAGGTAGTAGATCCCGTGCGCGATGGCCGAGCAGAGGCCTGGGGGCGTGCAGTTGCAGGGCGGCGTGTGGTCATCCAAGGCTAGGGACAGGCAGAGCACAGGGAGGGCGGTCAGCACAGGCCACGGCCAGGCAGAAAACACAGAAAAACTGTGCCGCAGTAAGAGGACGCCTGGCTTGTGTAAGGTTCCCCGACAGGCACAGTCACACGGTGCCATGCATTTCAGTGCAATGTGACATCCATCTTTCATAGGTCACAGTCAAAAAAAGAGTGAACATATATATGGATATATATACACATATGCAGTATCAAATCAACTAGAAATGAATAAAGAGTACACTACAAAAATAACCGAGCATTTGGCTGTGTTTCTGGGCAGTTGTTATAGATCTTTCTTTCTTTACACTTTGCCTTATTATAATTCATAACATGCGTGTGTGTTTGCAAACTCAGACGGAAAAACTTGAGAGCAGCCTCAACTACCCTCGCTCTTGCAGGACACTGCAATTTTCCGATTGTAAGGTGCTTCCCCTCCGCTTATAACTTACACAGTTCCTATGCAAAAGATGGCTCAGACTAACAGCCCACGAGAGCCAAGAGTCCTGTTTTGTAAGTCAGTCTAATACTGTATTTTCACAAAGAGCCTGAAGGCCAGCTGCTAGGACACCAATCCTGGCTCACACACTTACTTGCTGTGTGACCTCGGATGGATTACTTAACTTCTCTGTGGCCTAATGGCTACCTCCATGCAATAGTTAATACTGCCGCCCTCAGAGCACTGGGGCCAGAGTTAATAAACCACTTTACATGTCTAGAACTGTGCCAGGTACTCAGCAAGTACTTAATAAATGTTTGCTTTTATTATTTTTAAGCAATTTAAGCACATCTTATGTGGCTTCAGACTGCAATTTTTTGGGGGTGATGGGGGGACTTGGATTTGAACTCAGGGCTTCTTACTTGCAAAGCAGGCACTCTGCAGCTTGAGCCACCCCTCCAGCCCTTTTTAATTCTTGTTAATTTGGAGATGGGGTCTCAGAAACTATTTTCCTGGACTGGCCTCCAACTGTGATCCTCCTGATTTCAGCCTCCCAAGTAGCTAGGTGGCCTGAGCCACGGATACCCAGCTCTGTTTGCTTTTTCTTATTGTTGTCACTGCTCTTCTGCTACGGATGGACACCAAGGAGGGAATGAGGCCACAGACAGGGAGATGCACTGGGCTGACTTTTCCCAGCAGGGGGCTGCTAGCCGGGGTGGTGAAGCAGTCAGACCATGGCCTCTCACTCTGCTGTCCTCGCCCCCTGTGAGGGAACAGCCTCAGTAGCGGGCGGCACGTGAAAGGTGGAAGAGATGGTTGAAAGCTCACAGTTCAGATCGTCTTGCCTTACAAAGAGGAAAGGTTGGCACAGAGAAGCTGAGTGTCTCCCAAAGGTCACACAGAGAACAAGAGCCAAACTTGAGACATCCTGTCCCCAGAGCTTTGCCCTCAACCCGGATGTCCTCAGACAATGTGATAGGTCATAAAATGCTCAGGAATTTGGGAAGAAGGGCTGACACAGTGGCTTACATCTGTAACCCCAGTTACTCGGGAGGCAAAGATTGGGAGAATCAAAATGCAAGGCCAGCTGGGACCAAAAGTTAGCAAGACCCCATCTCCATCAGTAAGCCAGGTGTGTTGGTATGCACCTGTGGTCCCAGCTACAAGTAGCTAGAAAGGTCAGAGTTCAAGTTGGCCTGAGCAAAAATGCCAGACCCTATCTGAAAAACAACTAAAGCAAAAAGGGCTGGGCTGTGGTTCAAGTGAGAGCACCTGCCTAGCTCAGTTTAACTGACAAAAACAGAGTTTGGGGAGAAAATGCAAAAATTTACACTTCAGACTCTCAAATAGGAAGAGGGAAGAATAAAAATGAGCAAAAATAGTAAGTCAACCCAGTTAACTAAACACTTCAAATTCACTTCAGCCACTTACCACGAGGCTTCTGTGGAGTGCTAAAGTCATGCTGTTTGTAGGAAAAGCTGATGGCTTTTCCTTACTAAATTTTCCTTAATTAAAAACACGAACAAAGACGACCACCAATCTGCCATGGTCAAAAACAAAGACACTGGTTTCTCCCATAAACTGGACTGGGAGGAATGCTTACCCAAATGACAGCCATCCCAGCCCTGTAATTACGCCTGGTGTTCCTGCTGGGGGGCAGGGTGAAGCTGGGAGATCTGGTGTGTCTGCTGGGGTGAGTCAGGGGCCCTCAGCCCCTAGATGGTCTGGGGCCCTCAGCCCCTGGGGTCCACACCGCCCCCTCGATGGTCTGGTCCCCGCCCAGCAGCAGGAGGGTGGCCTCCCTGCACACTCACCTATCGTGATGTTCCCGAAGCCCAGGGTGGCCAGCCGCGCCTTGTGCTCGTTCAGCTGGTGCTTGGACTCATTCAACACGCTGTTGGCCCACAGAAGCAGGTTGGTGAACACCGAGTGGATCACCCCGAACCTGGAAGGCACAGCTCTTATTCCTGAGCAGCCCTGGGGGGGCTCCAAGCCCAGGCGGGAGACAGGGACGTCGCACACGCACACACGTGTGTGTACACACCAATGCACATGTGTCCTCAGACACAGTGCTGCTTCCGCTGGGCAGCCCAGGCTCAGGGTGGGTCAGTCCGGTCTATGGGAACTTCCCAGCCACAGCGTCTTGGTGTGCCACCTTAACCCTGAACTTTCCAGGGCTCACTCATTATCTGTGGGACATCAAAGAAGCCAGGTCTAGGGAGCAGGACTGTGGGGAAGAAAATTTGCTAAAGGCAAGCAACAATGAAGGGACGGTGACAGAGATACACTGGAGATCTGCAGAGTGGGTACACTCTTACTGCTGACTGACCAATGCACCCTCCCTGCCTCCCACCTACCTTCAGTGACATTGAAACAAGCCAGATACACTTACGACAAAGCTTGGCCATTCCAGCCAGGGGGGTGTGAGGTACAGTCTACGGAGCACTACTGAAAAGCTCTGAATTTTTTTTTAATGAAAAAAAAATACTCTTGAGTATAGACATAAAGGCTGGAGTTGTGGCAGCCATCTTATGACAATGAGTCAACCAACATATGATGAAGCCCCAAACCCAACAGAGGATGGCAGAGTAGAAACCTAGAAAAGACCTTCTCAGTGATGACATTATTGAGCATTATTGAGTCCCAGCCAGGTTCAAGAATTAGCCATAGTCACATGTAGAGTGAGTGGTCACAGCAGGGTTTGAAGAGCTCAGTGAGCCTCAGAGCTACAGTCTGACTCCACCACACTCACTGTCCCCCAAGGAAGAAGGTAGAAAGGGGGAAAAAGGGGAGGATGAACTTTGGACTCTTGGGAAGGGGGGGCGGGGGGGGGGACAAGGTTCCCACTGTCCCTGCTGGCTGTGACTTCTCCAGTTTCCCATGCCTGTGGGCTGAAGACGTGTCCATGGGGCAGCTTCGAGGCATGAGCAAAGTGCCTGGCGGGGAGCAGGTGCAGCACCCTGGTGATTTGAGCGAGGCTTCTCAACACATTGTGTGGAGCTGATCTCTTGGAAGCCTGGGAGCAGAGCCCCCCGCAACATCTAGCCAAGAGTCCACTTGTCCAGGATCTGACACAGTGCACGCTCAGCCCGCCCTGCCTGTCCCCTGAGCACTGACCCCAGCTGCCCCAGGGCTCCCAGGAGCCCCTGCGGGCAGAGCCTCCTCACGCAGCCCTGGCTCCCCTGGGCAGGTGCATGACACCCAGGCACGAGTCAGAAGGAAACAGAAGCCCAGGGCATCTGAGTCAGGTGCTGGCCCATGTGCCAGGCCCGTGCTCACCCTGTGGCTATAGATGGCGCCAGCCTCCATGGGTGACTCAGAGCTTCTTTCTATAAAGCTGTGACAAATGCAGACAGCGCTGATTGCCTTGCCTGCCGGTTCTCTTCTACTCACATTGTGTACAGCACCCTTTCTCTCTGCGCTGTCACAGGCCATGTGGCCTTGTCCAGCCCCAGGCCCACTGAAGCCAACGAGGCAGTGCTGCAGCCATGGACTGTCCTACAGTGCAGGCGCCCTGCGAGCACAGCCCCTGTCCCCTAGGCCTGATCCAGCATTGGTCCCACAGGGCAGGCGTCACTCCCCAAGCCTCAGTGCCTCTCCCATACCACAACCCCAACCCACAGCTACGGGAACACTCACACGAGCCAGTCATGGTCTCCAGGTGTTTTCAGTTCCACTTTGAGAAAAGCTGACCCTAAAAACTACACATCTGGGGAAAGAAAGGGACCCAAACCAGTAAGAAGAATTCTCAGCCCAGGAGAGAACTATCTCCTGGAAGCGTGGGGTGGGGGCCAGAGGCTCAAAAAACCGGGAGGAAACAGCGAGTGCGGGCAGGTGACACATTCGGAAGTCCTCAGGGCCTGGCAGGAAAGGTGAATGAATAAGGCAGTCCTGGGTCACATTAGGGAATGGTAGGGACTGTGGCAAACAGAGGGGCCAACCCCTCTAGGGGAGCTCCAAACCCGTCTCTTTCCTTTTGTTGTCATGCCAAATCTCCCACTTCCTTTACAGAAGTCCCAGTCTCAAATTTAAAGGTGGTGAGTCAAACCCTAAACCTGTTCGCCCTCAAACAAAACAGACTAACTGCAGCTACATCTACAGGCGGCTCAAACCACTGGGTCTCCAGTTTAGGACTGAGGCCCCGGCACAGTGTCATCCAAAGAAAGACGAGGCAGGACACAGGTGAGAGCCACAGGTGTGCTTTTAGATTTCCTGAAGACTTCATCAAGACATCAGTGAGGCTGGGGACATAGCTCAGTGTGGAGAGCTAGCCTGCCCTGAGGGAGGCCCTGGGTTCCATCCCCAGCAGGGAGGGAGGGAGGGGGGAGGGGATAAATACATATAAACGTAAATAAATAAGGGCAAAGGAACAAGTGAGCCTAACTGTGGTAATACTTTGTCAATTCCACTGTATCTAACACCGCGTCACGTCAATGTATAATCAATCCCCAAAACCATTCCCGAGTGCCTTATCTTCCAGTCTGACTTTCACTGTGGCCTCTGGAATCCAGGCTGTATTTTACACATGTCACTTTGGAGCAGCCACAACCCACGTGCTCAGGGGACCAGTGGCTGCTGTCCTGAACAGCGCAGACTGAGGAAGGGCAGGGGCTGCCCTGCTTGGGGGGAGCTGGACTGAAGCAAAGAGGGGTGCTGCACCTGTCATCCCCCAGCCATGTTAGCACCGCAGTGTCGGGACGCAATGGTGGATTCGGTCACCATCCAGCCCACAAGCAGCAGGCTGCCCGGCCTTGGCATTGGTGATGCTGCTCTGAGCCTCAGTTTCCTCATCTGCTACATGGGATCCTGACCATGTCTATTGTCCCTCACCAGCAGGGCTATCCTAAGAGGCCTCATGGTGAAGGACCACAGGAACCAGGGAAAGGACGGTGCTTCGTAAAGGCACCACTTAGCCAGGACTCCGGCTACAGGTCAGACACTCGCTGAAAACTCTCTGCCTTTATCCTGGCGATACCTTGCTAGGACTTTAATGCAAAAAGATAATTAGACTTGTTCAAAATACTTTTGGCTGAAGGTGTTCAAAGCAGTACTACTCACAGTAACAACCGAATGGAAAGTGTAAACGACCCAGCTATGTCCCCACTACACCCTAAACTCATAGGCTGAAAGCCTCATCCCCAGGGTGCCTGTATTTGAAGGTGGCCTTTAAGGAGGTGACTAAGGTTCCCTGAAGTCATCAGGGTGGGGCCCTAGCCCAACAGAACTGGCGTCTTTATAAGAAGAGAGACCAGGTCTCTCTCTCTCTCTCTCTCTCTCTCTCTCTGTCTCTCTGTCTCTCTCTCTCTCCCTCTCTCTCTCTCTCCCCCCCCATCTGGAGTCTCCTGGTCTTAATGAGAACCCCACCTCCAAACACTATGCCATTGCCGGGCAGGGCCTCAACACAGGCATTTGGGGGCACAAGCATCCCTCCCATCACAGTTCTATTATGGGGACCCTGACATGCCACTGCATCCTTACAAGACTTATGGGGTAAAAAGTACAGTTTGTAAAGAGTCACTTTGTGGCGTGGGTGAAGCCAATCCCACCGCCTAGGACAAAATCGGGAAGCACGGAGCCCGCCTTCAAGGAGGTGACTAAGGTTCCCTGAAGTCATCAGGGTGGGGCCCTAGCCTGATAGAACTGGCGTCTTTATAAGAAGAGAGACCAGGACAAAATCAGGAAGCACGGAGCCCGCCCCCTGGAGGTGGAGGGAGGAACAGCAGGCCACGTGCGCACACTCACTCAGGCCCTCCGCTGCCACTTGTGCGCTGCTGGCTTCTTGGGACAGGACTCTTGACCTGTGGGAGCCCACTGCCTCCCTACTTAATGCAAACAAGAAGAGTCACCCTCACCCCCCCTGCGTGTAGACTGACTGGATGTGATAATGGACTTGGGAGTCTTTGCCAGTAATAACAGACAATTAAAGCTATCTTTGACAGGTGTTTGGGGTCCTGGACCTCGATCGCCCACTCCCCACCCTTGGGGCACAGCACCAGTGCGCACTTCTGCCCTCCCTCCCCTGGTCCTCCCCAGCTGGAAGTGGAACGTCTGACAGTAATAACACTGGGGTTTAAGATCCCTGTGGAGGTCACTGCCAGGATCACATGGTGCATGCTGAGCTCAATGCCAACTCCAGGGCACCACTCACATAGCCAAGGAGACCTGGACACACCATTGCCACCAGCACTGTGCACAGTGGGAGCTCACCAGATGCCCAAGCGTTTATTGACGCGGCTCCTCATTGCACAGTGAGGTCAGTGGAGCCTATCTGTATTTCAATAGCTTATTAAAATCCTTCTATCCAGTGATCACATAGAAATCAGTCTTTTAACTATCAGCTGCTGTCTTAAATGACAGGAGGAAGTTTTTGTTCCCATGGGGAGTTTGTACAATGAGAGACCCTCTAGAAAGCCAGGCGCCATCACCTGCATGTGTGCACACAGGCCTGCCTTACACTTGCGCTTGAGGAATTCACCCCGTCTTCCCAGAGATTCTTACCTCAATCCTCATATGAGCTAATGACAGACCCCAAACTCACCCAGCATTTGTAATGTGGCAGGCACAAGCTGTTCACTTGTGTCTCCATCCTCAGAGGAAGCTACCTTATTGCCCCATTTCACAGATGGGAAAACTATGGACCATGAAAGAAAATCAGGTGAGACGGCAGAGTTCAAACCCACATTGCCTTCTTCTGGGACTGTCTTGGAAGGGTCTAAAAGGTAGAGTCCCCTCTCCCCTCCTGAAGGGGCTTTGCTTTTTTAGGACCAAGAGGGGGCTGGTCTCAGCATTTATAACCCTGGCAGAATGGCAGTCATTAGTTCTGTTTGGTTGAAATGTTCGGGAATGTCACATTCAACATGCAAAGTCACAGTTTTTACCTTTCCAGGGTTTTGAAAGACTGGATAACATCCTTTGCATGCCCCCAAAGAAAATATACCTAGACAGAAATAAAGGAAGAAAAAGTGCATCAGTGGAGAAGCTGGCATTTATATTTGTATACTTGAGAAGTTATAAAGCTTGAAGGAAAATGCTGAGGAAATGAGTGGCCTCCAACCCCAAGAAAGGCAAGTAGCCATCCTGGTCTCAAAGGCAGTGCCATTCCCCCAGGGGAGGGGGACGGAGGGACAATATTCCAGGAGCAGATGGGAAGCATAGCAAGCCCTGCCAGCTCTGGAGCACTGATGAACTTGGTGTGGCTAAGGAGCACAGATTCAGCAGACATCACTTAATACATATCTGGGAGGCAGAATTTATCTTGTGTTGAAGAGAATCTTAGCTGGGCTCTGGTGCTACAGTAGACTGAAGATGTCAGTTTTATTTGACCATCTATTAATGGATTATTTATTTTGCATTTAGTTTTCTGTGCTCCTGTATATTCTGGATATTAATTCCTTATCTGTTAAAGACAGCTGAAGATGTTCTCCCATTCCGTGGTTTGCTTCTTGATTCTGGTAACTGTTTCCTTCAACGTGCAGAAGCATTTTAATTTGGTGCAGCCCCATTTCTCAATTCCTGCTCTTGTTTGCTGGACAATTGGAGTCTTATTCAGAAAATAACTACCTAAGTCTATAACTTCTAGGGTTTTCCTATACTAGTTTTTTTCCTGTAGTAGTTTCAAAGTTTCAGCCTTGTGTAAAGATCTTTGATCCATTTAGAGTGCATTTTTGTACAGGGTGAGAGCTAGTCATCTAGTTCCAGTCTTCCTCATGTAGACAGTCAGTTTTCTCAGCACAGGACATTGTCTGTAAAGGACGTTTTCAAACTGGGAATTCAAAAATATTTGAGCAGTGAGAGTATCGCCAAGTTCATGAGCTACCAGGACTAGGGGAAAAGACTGATCTTGGCCATGACTTCTCCAAGCTCCAGCATCTTCCTTGGCAAAACCTGAGGCTGGATCCTACCATCTGTGTCAACACGGATGAGTCTGGAGGGTTCTGTGCTAAGTGAAACGTCCGAGCAGAGAAAGACAGGCTCGGCGTGACCTCACTCCCATACAGAGTCTCAGGAATGGAGAACTGGGTACTAGAAGCAGAGAACAGAACCATGACTGATGAAGAAATGGGGACTTATGGGGACGTGTAGCAAGAGCACCAAGGTGCAAATATGTAGGACGAACAAACCGGGAGACAGGACAGACAACTCAAGCACCATAACTGATAACACTGCACTCTGCACTGACGTTTGCTGAGACTAGATTGAGGTGCTCTTACCACAAACAACACCCAGGAAGGCAGCTCAGAAGATGACAGATAAGATCACTTGCTTGACTGTCGTAATCACCTTGCTGTGTATATGTAGATAAACGCATCGTGCTGTGTGTCTTCAATACGTAAAATAAAGGATAAGGAGAGTGGCGATCCAACACTGTCTTTTTAATGCACTTTTATTATTCATTGACATATTATGATTATAAATCTTTATGTAGCACAATGTGACATTTCATTGCATCAGACAATGTGAGATGACCAGGTCAGGGTAACTGGTCACCACAGACAGGTATCATTTTTTTTTGTACTGGGAATATTCAAAATCTTCTGTATTATTTCTTTTGAAATAGTCAATTAACTGTAGTCAGCCGCAGTTATCTGAGTGTGCTGTGAACATCAGAAGATGTTCCTATTAAGAGCACTCATGTACCATGGACTTTCCTCTCTCTGTCTTTCCCTCCCCATACCCCTCCCAGGCTCTGGTAACCACCATTTTATTCTCTGCTCCATTTATTGTTGCTATTGGTGGTGGTACTGGAGTTTGAATTCAGGGCCTCACACTGGCTAGGCAAGAGCTCTATCCCCAGCCCCATCTATGAGATCAACCTTTTAGCTTCCCTGTATAAGTGAGAACATGCAATTTTTGTCTTTCTGTGACTGACTTATTTCACTTAACATAATGTTCTACTTTCCATTCTGCCAATGACAGAATTCCATTCCTTTTTATGGCTGAGTAATATTCCATGTGTAGATATACTGCCTTTTCTTCATCCATTCATCCGTCAATGCACACCAAGGTTGATTCTGTATCTTGGCTGCTGTGCATAGTCAACCCCCACTCTCATGGAGTTTTTAGAAGGATAGCACAAAGAAACCAAGGAAAAGCACCTTGTATATTCTGATACGCTACAGAAATTCTGATCATTCCTCTGATTACCGAGGAAACAGGGGTCTTCATCCTCACAGACCATTACCAAAACTCTGGTAAGGCTAGACACTGCACCCAGAGCCCAGCTAAGATTCTCTTTAACCATGAGTTAGTTCTGCCTCCAAGTTATATATTTAAATGATGTCTACTGAATCCTTACTTCTTAGCCACACCAAGTTCATCAATGCTGAGAACAAGGACCTCACCCATTTCTAGAAGGCTCTAATCCACAAGGTGGAAAACAACAGAGTCTCAGTGATCCACAGGGTGGTTGTCTGGCCCAGCATTGCTTCGGGAGTAATGGAAATGATTGAAACTGATCATACAGATGGCTGCACAACCATGAATCAGTCGAACTGATTTTTTTGTTGTTGTAACATTGGGGTTTGAACTCAGGGCCTCATGCATGCTAGGCAGCAGCTCTACCACTTGAGGCACTCCATCAGCCCTTTTTTGTGAAGGGTTTTTTCGAGATAGCGTCTCAAGAACTATTTGTCCAGACTGGTTTTGAACTGCAATCCTCCTAATCTCTGCTTCCTGAGTAGCTACAGGGGTGAGCTGGATTTTATAATGGGTGATTACATGGCATAGGAATTATGTCTCAAGAAGAACATTAAGAAGATGAATATGGTTGATGTACTTCTACACAAGAATAAATGTAGAATTTTTAAACCTGTTGAAATCACCAAAAGGGGACTAAGGTAGAAAGGAGAAAAATAGGGGGGATGAACCAATTCTGGTTGTAACACATATCTACATGGAAATGTCACAATGAAACTCCCTGTATAGCTATTTTAAGAAAACAAAACTGCCTTTTTCAAAAAACAGAGAACAGGAGGTAAAACGGGTCCTGTCTGGGGGTTGGTACCAGTGGGAAGGGGGAAGACATAAGGAAAGGGTGTAGGAGGAAGAATATGGTGGAATATTATGTGCTCATGTATGAAAATGGAAAAATGAGACCTGGTGAAACTACTCCAGGAAAAGGGAGGGGAAAGAAAGGAGAATGATGGAGGGGTGAATTCAACTCTGATATATTGTAAGAACTTTGGTAAATGTCACCATGTACCCCCAGTACTACAGTAACACAAAAATGTCTCAATAAGACTGCTGTACATGCAGGAAATAACCCCCACCACCTTTCCTGGTGGACTCTGGCTTGGCAGAATGTCCTAGCTCTTCCTTACGAGTTCTGCCTTGGGGTCCCCATGAAGAAAGCCCAGGGCACAGAATAGGCAGCTATAGGACAAGCCTCAGAGGGCCCACCTTGCTAGATGTCTCAGGTTAGAGATTTGTGCACACATTGGGATGCACTTTACAGCAGAAGCATCAGTGGTTTACCTGCAATACCGTGTGGACTGCATGCATGACCGGGAAGACTCCTTCAGTGGCTGATAGACACTCAGCAAACCCAATGAAGTATCCAATTTTGAAGCATCCCAGGATGATGGTGATGGCCGCAAACAAGGTGATGCTACCTGCGGGAGGAGGGGTGCACACACCTGCCACCATGCACCAATGCTGCTGCAAACACATTATATGAACCCTCACCTCTGTGCTCAAGTGACTTTTGACAAGGGCGCCAAGACTGTTCAATGGACAGTATTTTCCCTAAAAGAGGCTGGGAAAGATGGATTTTCACAGGCAAAAGAGCAAAGCTAGACACTTCCCTTATAGCACATTCACTCAAAGTGACTAAAGACCTAAGTGGCAAAGCTAAGAGTACAAAGCTGTTAGAGGAAACATTTGGGAAATGTTCGTGCCGTTGACTAGCCAGTGATTCTTAGCCATGACAACAAAAGAAAAACAGATAAACTGAACTACACTGAAATGAAAAGGTTTTGTGCCTCACAGAACACTATCAATAGCGTGGAAAGGCAACCCACACAACGGGAGAAAATATTTGCAAATTATACCTCTGGTAAGTCAATAATATCTACAATATATACAAAAGACACCTACTCTTCAAAAACAACAAACCAATTAAAAGTAGGTAAAGAGACGTGAATAGACATTTCTCCCAAGATGAAATAAAAACAGCCAACAAAAGCCAACTCCAGTGGGTCATGCCTGTAATCCTAGCTATTTGGGAGGCTAAGATCGGGTTCAAGGTCAGCCTGGGCAAACAATTCTCGAGACCCCCATACCCAAAATAACTATAGCAAAACAGTCTGGAGGCACGGCTCAAGTGGTAGAGCACCTGCTTTGTAGATGCAACTCCCTGAGTTCAAACCCTAGTCCCAACAAAACAGCCAACAAGTACATAAAAAGAGGTTCCACATCACTAACCAGTAGGGAAATACAGATAGAAACAAAAACATCACGTCCATTAGGATGTCTGCTATTTAAGGGGGCGGGGAGCAGAAAATAGCAAGCAGCGGTTAACATGTTGAGAACTTACAAACTCTGTGCACTGAGGCTGGGAGTGTAAAATGGTCTGACCACTATGGAAAACAGTTTGGTGGTTCCTCAAATAATTGTTTGACCTAGTAATTCCACTTCTGGGCAGGTATCCAAAAGAACTGAAAGCAGGGACACAGCGGGTATGGTACACCTATTTTCATATGACAGCATTCGTCATAATAGCCAAAAGGTGGGAGAAAACCAAGCATCCATCTGTGGATGAAAAATAGGTATGTACATGCACTGGAGTATTTTTCCTTAAAAAGGAAGGCTACAACATGACAAGCTTTGGCAACATCAGAGTAAGTATCATAAGCCAGTCACAAAAGGACAAGTCCTGCAGGACCACACTTACACAAGTTACCTGGAGTAGCTGAATGCAGAGACAGAGAAGATGGGTAGGCGCCAAGGGCTGTGGGAGAGGGAAGTGAGGAGGTAATGTCTAATGAGATGAATGAGAGAAACTGAGATGTGCTTAGCGCCACTGCGCTGCCCACTCAAAGTGGCTGGCTTGATAAACTTTATATGTATTTTATAACAATCAAAAACAAGCGTGCATATGTGAAATAATAAACTCTACCATTGGGTTGATAAGCTGAAACTGGAAGACAGGTGCTGTGTCCTGCTCATTATTGTACCTGCCAGCCACATACCCTAAGGTCTGACAAATGATAACCCCAGTGACAGGAGCAGTTCCCAGACCCCGCAGATAACAGCCTCAGAGGATGCTGAAGTCCCTTCTAGAAAGTGGTGAATTATGTTCATACAACCTGTGCACATACTTTAAAACAATTGTGGATTACTTATAATACCTGATACAATGTTAGTGATATGCAAGAAGTTGCTACACTGTGTTGTTCCAGGAATGATGGCAACAAAATCCTCTATCCGTCCTCAGAACAGGTTCAGGGCTGTCCCCGTACTTGCAGTCTGAGCTTGGTTGGAGCTGCGCATGTGTGGCCCACAGGTCAGGAGGGCTGCCTGCATGTCCAGCAGACCTTGGCTGAAGCAACAGGCCTCCAGAAGCTTTCCCAAAAGGGCTCATTCCAGGAGTGTCTGTTCTACTCACACACCAGATTCCCAGCCCTGGACTCTCTGAAGAATAGGGGTGCCCAGGTGGGTGACATGCACACTGTACAGTCTGTGCCACTTTCCATGACTCTAAAGCTTTTCCAAAGCAGAAAGTTGGTTTCTTGAAGACTGATAGGAAGGAGGTCTCTGGCAGGAACCAGGAGAAGGTCCAGGCCAGCTAGTGTGAAGGGAGGAAGCCAACTTTGACTGCAAGTCACAATGGTTTGACCAAAACATAAAAGCAAACAAAACTGTGCAAGTTGATAAAGGCTGGAAAGGAACATACGAAGTGCATTTTTAAAACACTTGTGACAATTGAAGAAATTACTGAGAAAAAAGCAGTGGGAATGAGCACTTGGTCACTGTTCCTGCTCATTAGCCTCCTGGGCCCACACTGACCCTACTCAGATGTCGTCACCCATGCACAGAGGAAACTGGATCTTATGTGCCAGACATTAGGGCACCAAGCAGAAGCAGGGTTGGGGCGATCAGGTCACACACACACACACACACACACACACACACACCCCGCCAGGGAAGCCTCCAGGGTGAGCAGAAACACAACCACCTGGCTCACGGCCACAGCTCAAAGCCTTAGGGAAACAACACTAAGTCACATTTTTTTAAATCCTGGAAAAACCCCAGGGAAATCAGAAACTCTGTAAGAGTGGAGATTCGATCCCAATGCTTTGAAATGCTTTGACAAATGCAAGGTTCATTTTGATTACCAAAAAAACAAAGGAAAGAAAAAAAGAAGAAAAAGCAAATGAAGCAAAGCAGCCTGGTTGAGTGGCAAGAGCCCAGTCCGGCAGCTGTGGGATCCTGGGTATTAGAAGTGTGAGTCCCCACAGTCACTCCCAGGCCCCTGAGGGAGACTAGATAAGGGACATGGGGGCTTGGGAACAATGAGTCAGGGGCTAGGAGTACCCTCAGTATTAAAAGGTAATTCGAAGTCTCTCACTCCCCACTAGGTGATGGCGGCTGGCAGTGCTCTTAACCTTTCACTGACGATCTGCCTGGAGCTCGGGATAAGCACCCTGGTGAATGTCCCAAGACACACACTTGGCAAAGCTCATCCTTGGACAAGAAGACCTTATTAAGGAAAATAAACATCTCCTAACATGGGCTTTTCTGCCCTAAATAAATATCTTCTTTAAAAAAAGCTCCTGACAGATTGTCAGACATATATCCCCTGTGTCAATTAAGGGAGACTTGGTCTCTGGAGCCCCAAAGCCACCCTGTGTTCCAAGAACACAAAATACAACTGAAGAGGGTTGTCACCACAAATGATTCATGCACCAGCAGTTCAAAATGAAGCCTGTGCAGAGATAAGGCTCATTGCTGGGCTCCACCCCTGGAGCTTCTGATTCAGATCTTATCTCTAATAAGTTCCCAGGTGGGGCTTATGGGGTCAGTCTGGGACCCCACTTTGGTCTGGATTATCTCTGCTGACATTTCAAGGGTTCTGGATAAATACCTTGATGGCGTCTCATGGTCATTTTTTTTTTTTTGATGGTACTGGGGTTTGAACTCAGGGCCTCACAGGTGCTCTACCACTTGAGCCACTCCACCAGCCCTTTTTGGCATTGGATATTTTTGAGATAGGGTCTCATGAACTATTTGCCCAGGCTGGCCTCAAACAAAGAGCCTCCTGATCGCTGCCTCCCAAGTAACTGGAATTACAGAAATGAGTCACCAGCACCAGACTACTTCTCACACACTTGAAGTCTTCCTCCCTGCCTTCCACTGACTCATTCACCCATTTATCTACACAACCACCATTCTGAGAACTCTTCCTGCTATGTTTTGGATACGGTTTGAGTGTATCCCCCCCCCAAAGGTGCTGGAAGCTTAGCCCTCAGTGTGGAGATGTTGAGAGTGGGGACAGGGACGGACCTTTAAAAGGTGGGGCCTAATGGAAGGTAATTAGGTCATTGGGGCACCACCTTCAGGAGGGATTAATGTAGTTCTCTTGGACCCCAGTTTGCTCTCAAGAGAACAGGTTGTTATAGAGTGAGGCCACCCATGTGTTTAGCCCTCTCCACACACCATGGGTTTCCTTTCTGCTTCCCTGCCATGTTGTGACTCAGCCCGAGGATCTTTGCCAGGATGCCAGTACCAGGCTGTTTGAACCCCTGAGCCATCAGAAACATGAACCAAATAAAACTCTTCACTTTATAAAGTACCTGGCCTCAGGCATTTGAGTACAGCAACACAAAATGGACTAAGACATCTATTCTGCATGAGGCATTATGCCAAGGACTTAAAGAAACAGATTGCTGGAGAAACAAAATACACAAGGATAGCACTATGTAAATCTGGGCTGTCCTCAAGGTAAAGAGGGATGAGCTTGCACCAGACTTTTCATGTGCAGCCCGGGATATCAGAAGACAGAGGAAGTGTCACAGTGTTCCGCTACCAAGAAAGGGCTGCAGTTCCAGGACTCTAATCCCAAAGATGTCACCCACTGGTCAGGGAAAAAGAGAGGAAAACATTCCAAGATACATAAAATGCAAATCATTCAGCAAGTATTTTTTTAAGGATTAACAATGAGCCAGTCACTGTCCCAGGACACCTGAGGATACAAAAGTCAATAAAGTAGAGGATCTACCCTTGGGAGAATAGCATTCTAGTGGAAAAAAACATAATCCAAACAAATGACAAACATAAAAATGTCAGGAAGGGCTAAGCACATGAAGAAAAACAAACTAGGGAGGGGGCTGAGGCTGGAGGTGGTGCACAGGAAGAATCCCTTCAGGTGTGACCGCTGAGCAGAGAAGAGAGGGTGAGAGAAAAATACTCAAAACCATCTGATGATCTTTAGCCAAACCAGGGAGCTGGAAGAGAGTCCTCAAAACAGAGAAAGGTGAAGAGTGGAGAAAGCAATGGTGAGCAATAAATGTTGCAAAAGTTTGGAGGGAATCAGGCATAGAGGGCTCACAGCTGTCATCCTAGCTACTTAGGAGGCTGAGATCAGGAGGAATTGTGGTTCAAGACTAGCCCA